AGGCACAAATTCTTACATTTTATCTAGCAGCTATCTAGTAAAGTAAAAGTATTTAATTAACCTTACCCGGGTATATCAGGTAGGATTTTATACCCGGATATATCTGTTGATCACTCGGGTAACCCGCCGGGCATACCCGTCAGATAACCGGGTAGCATTTTTCGATCGGGTACCATCACTAGGATCAAAGTTTATTACAATTGGAACTGGCATACTTATGACCCAACAACCCAACTAAACTTAGCACCAGATCTAAGACATAACCTCAATAAAATATTTAACACAGTGGTATCATACCAACTTGTCAAGAAAATACAATTAAATCAACCTAAAATTGATTAAACTCTGATCATGAGTCTAATCAAGAAGAATTACCATACAATAATCGTGAAATTCAGCAAATAGAAAATGACCTAAGTAATTGTAAAACTTACCAATTGAAGAAAACCTTACTATGGTATCATCGAGAACTATTAAGGTACCATGACACCAGAGTACAGTAAAAAGAAATGTCAAAATTGCACAAAGTGAACGAATATGCGATCACGAATGTTCGATCTACTAGGCAAAAATCCCCACGTATACCGAATAGCTCAACAAGATGTACATCATATACAACACCAAACATTTAATTATCATGTGAAGCAAGAAGATAATTAAAATCCGACAACAATATAGAATATACTAGCATAATTGCCTGAAGATCTAACGAAAATCATGAATAAACAAAAATGGTTTACCGAAATGATTTACATAATTAACCGGCAGAATGCCCGTACAATCGAATGCCACAATTAGTAAACCCGGATCGACCTTTGTAAATTTTTGAGTTCCGCGATTCAGTGAATAAAACATTGATTGCCATCTAATGTTCGTCGTATTTTATGAAACCTATTTATCGATAAAAGGGAAATATATAAATCATCAAAATGAGTCCTGCGAATATGACGAAGTTGAAGTGATACTAGAGTTCTGTATGTTCCCATGCCAGGCACATAGGTGTTTTAACATAATACTTTTAAGCCAAAAACAAAAGCGGCAATTTTAGGTCAAATAAAAAAATACCTGTTTCCATGCCGTGTCTGAGCCTAAAATTTTTTGTTAAGCACGGGCACATACCGTTGGGGTGTTCGGTCAACTATGTATCGTGATAATTATAAAAAAATTTAATGATTAATTTTTATATGATACTACATATAGTTTTGATTTACATAGTTGACCGAACACCCCAACATGTCGTGCATGGAGATTCCTAATGACCACCATATTGTAATTTTTTTGAGTCCCATGAATCCTATGATTATGAAGATTGTCAATCCAAATAAATCGAAAAGATCGATATTTTTATGGAGAGATGTCACACGAAATTGCGTTAATAATGTGCGTGGTGCGCACTAATAGAGATGATGAACTTATAGAATATATACTTATGAAAGGTTGAACGTATCCGAAAGTATTCCAGTACGTTAAAATATTTCAATAGAAAATCTCTGCCTGTTTTCTATTTGTTATATAAACATCTTGATTTCTGGTTGCTAAATTATTTATGAACCAACCATTTCAATCTAATTCTCGTAAAATGAAGATTTATGTTCTTATTTGGTTTTTTTTTTCCGTCTCTATCATTAATATTGTGCCTGTCACTTCAAAATCTTATTCTATCTCACTTACTAAACATGCTCTTAAACATTCTTGGAAAGAAGTTCATCAATTTTATAAATATAAGTATGAATCTTTAACCCAAAGAATTCACAGTTCTGATCAAGCTGTTAATAAACTTGCATCCGCCAAGAAAAGTTTGTCTGAAACAGTTAATCTTACAATGTCAGGTGCTTTTGGTTACTCTGGACAAATCACTATAGGTGGTCAAAATTTTACAACAATTTTCGACACAGGAAGTTCTGATCTTTGGGTCAGTTTTTTTTTTTTTTTACATTATTCTTAATAATGAAAAATCTCATTTTTGTTTGCACTATTCTAAAAATTAGGTTCCATGGGTGAATTGCACGGAAACCGCTTGCAAAAAACATCGACGATTCAATGAAAGATTATCGAAATCATTTAATCACACGTACAATGGTACTATGTATTATATGGGTTATGGTTTAATGTTTTTCAATGTTATTACCGCACAAGACAATCTTCAAGTGGGAGATATAGAATCTGTAGGTCAAATATTCGGCCTTTCGACTTACGAAAACTTTTTGTTTGAAGATTTACAATTTGATGGAGTTTTCGGCATGGCTTTTGACGATATTAGTACTTTCGGTGCTGCAACACCTTTTTCAAATATGATTAATCAAAAGGCTATTAATGAACCATATTTTAGTTTTTATCTTCAACGATCAAAAGATGATGTGGGAAAATTAACGCTTGGTGGTGTTGACACGACTAAATTCACTGGAAATCTTAGTTATCACAAAGTAGCTCAATATAATGGTTCATACAAGTTCTGGATGACTGAAATGGATGATATTTCTATTAATGGCAAGAAACTTAACTACACAAATAAAAAGGCTATATTTGATACTGGAGTTCCTGCAATACTTATGCCATATTATGACGCTGACTCCTTTCATAAATATGTTAATGGGTCATACAATCAATTTACGAGTACGTATTATATACCCTGTAACATAACAGATTATGTATCTCAAGTATCATTTATATTTGGTGGAATTAGTTATAATATTAATGCATCAGAACTAATTTTGCAATATGATAAAGATTACCACCAATGCATTTCTGGAGTTCAATCTGCAGATATCTCTGAGGATGACACATGGGTTGTTGGTGATTTCTTTTTAAAATACGTCTATTCTGTATATAATATGAAAGATTTAACGATTGGACTTGCTCATATCAAATAGTACTGTATAATTAATAAATTTTGAAATTATAATTAATTAAGGATTTTGAAATTGAGTATATCAATATAATATTTACGTACTTATAACTAAAATAAAAACATCAAGTGCCTATTTTATTAAGTTGAATAACTTTCAAATTGTCTGACATAGCGTGCTTTCAAGCACCTCGCTCAATGGATTGAAGGCAAATTTTTAATAGTCGGAAATTGAATAAATTAACCAAGTGAGTTGCCATTGCGATAAACAGACCAGCGAGCTATAAACTATTTTTTTTCTTCAAAAATTTACTATTGATAACTAGATAGCTGCGCGACGTTATCGCGCAAAACCAGGAACGGAAAACCTAAAAAAAAATAAAAAATAAAACAGTTAATTATCAACATTACTCTTCAAAAGATTACTTTTTCGACAATCAAATCAATAAATATGGCATTTATTTATGCTGATTTTTATTATCGATATTCAATATATCCGTCAAGTAATTATCTAAGTGTACAATACTAGTACGTAATGATGAACAATACGAGTTCGGTGTTTTTTTTTATCGAAATTAATGTCACTTCCATGTACAGCTACGAGTGACAGAAGAAATTTTCTGTCGTATAATTGTTGTTTCCACCTCTACAGTAAATAGCTATGAGCATGAATAAATTATTTTAATTGATCTCCAATGTCACGCCAAGTTAATTTTTCGTTTTGCATTACCCATTATGAAACCTGATTTAAATGCTTTCATATTGTTGACCGCTGAGGAGCATGCCAACGAAGTGACCGGGCGATCATTATTGCGAGATCAAAAGACTTCATGATCTTCACGTGCCTGAATTTCGGGTGAACTGTTTGTGGGACCTGAACTATTGTCCAGATAGTTTTTTGTTTGGCGCAGGTTCTTTGAATTATTTTTGTAATCGCATATGATTATGAGACAGTATCGGTATCAATACGTAATTAAGGGATGATAAAGGAGTTCAGGAGTAAGTTCATATGGTTTGCGCGTGAAATCAGAAGGAAGGGAATCGGTAGCTGTCCTGTTAGTAAAGGGTATTTGGGACCCTAGTTGTTGTTGGAAGAAATTATCTTTCTCTTCGCTATCGCTAGCCTTGTAGGAAGGCTGGTTCTATCGTATTACCTTCGTATTGTTCTTTTGAAATAAAAATTATAAAAAAAAAAATAAAATAAAATAGATAAGGTAGATATGCCTAATTTGTAGGGTTGGGGGCATGGTGTCCCAGGGCATGCCTCAGGGGCATGCCCAGGGGGGCATGCCTAGGGGCATGCCCTTTTTTCAAAAAAATTTACATATAAAAAAATCGTCATACAAAAAATTTTGGGGCATGCCTATAGGGCATGCCCTTAAAACAGAGGCATGCCCAGGGGGCATGCCCAAAAAGTTTTCCGTGCCCCCAACCCTACTAATTTGGCGCACTAACGAAAGTAGCTTAGTGGTGGCGAAAAAGAGAGCAATCACGTGATCTTTGTCCAATAATATTGTAAGATCAGGTGTAACGTTGCACGATCAGGAAAATTCAAAACAAACGTTCGGTTTTTCCAAAAACCGCTAATAACTCAAAATTTTGCTTATGGAACCGTCTTTGGTGTCTTAATAAAAAAATTTTCTTGCAAAATTTTACATTTAATACAATCTTCAAGCACCTTAGTGCTAAACAATACATACCCTAAAGAAAGATTTTATAATTTTAATACTTCGCTTAATTTTGTTGTTTTGATTTACGTTACGCCTGATCTTGCAATGTGATTGGACAAAAATCATGTGATTGCGCTTTTTCATTCGCTATCACTAAGTTACTACACTAACAATATCTCACGAACTGTCGATCTGAATCACATGATTTTGGTATCATTTGATTCGCTCATCGAGACGAATTGAATGGTACCTAAATCATGTGATTCAGATCGACAGTTCGTGAGATATCATTATTTAACCAAAATAATCTATACATATGTAATTTTTGAAAATTAACATAAAATTATGAATAACTTTTGATAGATTAGTCCGTTTTTAATTATTTTACCACCAAAATAACCATCTTGAAGAGACAATTTTAATGAGCTCAAAATTGCTAAAATCCAATCACGGGATCGCAAGATCATTAAGATTTTCTTATCCTTTTTGATAAAAATTGATTAGTTTAACTAATCTAATTTTTATCAAAAATAATATGAAAATCTCATGATTCTATAATCAGATTTTGGCTATTTTGGTTCATTGAAATGTCTTGTCAAGGTGGTTATTTTGGTTGTAAAATCATTAAAAATGGACCAGTCTATCAAAAGTTATTCACAATTTTGTGGTAATTTCAAGATTTGCTTTACACAGATTATTTTGGTTAAATGATATCTTGTGAAATATTAGCCAGAAATATGTGATTTTGGTATCATTCGATTTATCTTGATAAGATGAATCAAATAGTACCAAAATTATATAATTTTGATCAATAGCTCACAAGATATCATTAGAAATCATTAGTGCACTAAATTAGACATATCATCAAATTAGGAATATATTTTTTAGATAAACTTTAATAAATAATATCTCATAATTTAGTGAAAAGAATCAAATGATTTTGGTACCATTTGATTTGTCTTGATAAGACAAATCAAATAGTACCAAAACTATTCGATTCTGATTGATATATCATATGATATTTGTCATAAAATTCAGCTATATTAAATTAGATATAGCTACCTTAAATAAATAAATTAATTACAATAAATAAACTATAAACATAAACCTTGAGTTGAGTTAGATTAAATCATATAATTACAATTATCAGTTGAACAAAGTTAGCTACAAGTAAACTGAAGAACCTATATATAACATGCAGATACTAGAGCCCTTGAGAAGAAATAATAAATCTGATGCTAAGATAGGAGAACTATGAGATAAGTTGGATTGAAAAGATGGCAGAGAGTTAGACACAGAAAAAGGTTTAGATTTTGAAGATGATAACATTGATTTGGTATTTCAAAAAACAGATTGTAGTATTAGGAATGGAGTTGTAACCCACTTTCAGAGAGAAGAAAGAATTAACTTAGTTCTGGCTGATGTCTTTCTAATAGTATTTGATAATATTAAAAAGAAAATTGACAAGAATTTCTTAGCCTTACATAAAGAAATAGAAAAGGGTAATATATTGGATGAAGCATGGTCTAAGGTAGGCTTTTTAAACTACATAACCAGCATGAGTATGATTTTTTGACCAAAATAAGTAGGTGTCTAGATAAAATTATCAAGGCATTGCTAGCTTCTTTCAAAAAGAAAGTTATTAGTATGAAAAAAAAGGTTGAGACTTAGACAATAACCTTAAGGTTGGCTAATAATAAGAGCTAAGGTACTGTATTGCAAATTATTAGAAGTAATAATAGAATGATGAAGAAATACAAGAATTATATTTATTGTTTAGTCAGTATAGTAGAAATTTTAGTAGTAGGTTTATAAGTTGCAATATAAAAGAAAAAGTATTCACTCTTTTATCTGATTCAGAAAAAGAAGACTATAAAAAAGTAGAAAAAGAAATAGAAAGTCTTTTTCTTTTCATAAAAAAGTATTTAAAGTACTACTAATTGTTAAGAAACCTTTACCTGTTTTAATTGTAGAGGTTTTGAACATATTGTCTCTAACTGTTCTATTCAAAAGCTCTATTCAAGACAAAAAGCCAGAATTGACTATACTTAAAGTATTGTTGGAAAAAAGAATAGAATAGAGAACTAGTAGTTAGTAGTAAGAAGAATACAATTAGCAGAGGTACTAAGTTATTAGTAATATAAGATAAACCTATTACCAGTAATAATAAATTAGTTAAAAAATAATATGTCATTCTATTCAAGAGAAGTGTTAGTATTGGCAACAAAACTAGTTTCAAAGTAGCAAAAAGAAGCTAAATAAGTTAGTAAAATTATTAGCAGTAAATTTTTAAAAAGTTTATTAAGAAGATCTAAGTTGCTCTTAGAGGTTAGTTCAGTTTTTTTAATCACTAAAACGGGTTTAAAGAAATAAAGAATAGTAATAAACCTGAGATATTTAAACTTAATTCTTCTAGAAATGAGTATTTGTTTAAAGAGATTGAGATTTGTTCTAGACAATAGACAGAGATTAGTATATAATAATCTAAAATCTGAAAGAAAGCTATCATTATATAATAATAAAAAAGAATATATAGTATTTTCTTGGTTTTCAGGTTTTGAAAAATTGGCATTACTACAAAGTTTTTTTTTAGATTGTTACAAGCTATTTAATCTTTTCAAAGATTATGAAGGCAGTTGTGGATTATTAAAGATTACTTGATCTATTTTGTAAGAATTATTTAAATAATTTTTGGTTTGTAAATCTTTTATTAGATATTTTAATAATGTTAAAAAATATAGTAATAAAGGTAGATATTAAAAAGTATAGATTAATAAAAATAATAACAAAAGGGCAGTAGATACTTTCTTAGTATATAAGGTTTTTTAGTCTAACAATAAATTTAGCAAAGGCTAGATTATTGTTCTAGAAGAAAAAATTTTTGAAACTAACAAAATAATATTAGATTTAATTAAAAGAGAAAAAATTTAGGCTTGAAAGTTAGTAGTAGTAGCAAAAAAGATTTAATCTTTAAACAGGATGTTTTTCTATACAAAAGTTTATTATATAAAATTTTATATAATAATAGATTAGCAAACAAAAAATCTTGGTAATAAAATATATTGGTAAAGCTAACAAAACAACTAAAGAAGAATACAAAATAAGTTGCTTTAAACTTAAAAAATAAAATAGATATCTAGCATAAAATCTTTAATAATAAAATAAATCTTTGTTGGTGCTTATATAATTGGTTTGTTAGTAGTTTTCAAAAAGTATCATATTTTCAGAAATTAGAATACAAAAAGGTTATATAGAAAAATTATTAAATTAGAAGCAAAACCTATTATATTAGAAGTAGAGTTCTTTTAAAGCATTTATAGATAGATCTGTATATAGCCAATTGTAGTACTATCAATATAATTCTAAAAGAGAGCAGGCTATTTTAGCAAAAAAGTTGTTAAGAAAGTTGTAAATACTGCTTGACAAATACTTTACAGAAACTTGTAAAAAATTGATATTGGGTTTATAACTAGCAAATTATGTTTTTAAAATATAGTTAAAATATTTTTTTTAAAAAATTAGTTTATTATAGGTTTATAACTAGTAGTTATAATATTATAATAATGTTTTTCTAAAAAAATATTATTAAAACATTA